GGCTAGGATAATACCAGCTGGAACAGAGCGGAACGTAAATTCATACTCCGTCACCGCATTAGGGAAACAACCGCCGGAACGCGGCAACAGCTCTAAGGGGGGACCTCAAATGACGAATCGGCTGACTGATCTTAATAAATGGCCGTTGCATGTTTTCCAGACAGGCGGAACAGGTTGGGTTTGTTGTTGTATGTTAAAGTTATGTAAGGATAATTTTGTTATAATGTGTCCTAGTGTGTAATATCAGGTAACAGCGTTGGTGGTATCGAAATGCGGGATATAAATCCGATTGGAGCAAACCGCCAGAGGGAAGAGAACCGGAAGAGTGGACTTGAAGGGAACAGAGGTGGTGGTCCTTATGATACACTCCGAACTATCCCAGGTGAGAAAAAACCGGGTTATTCGTAAACTACTTAAGTATGTGGTTTTGAAGAAGTTTGATACTTGTAAGAGGGTAATATATGTTGGACGACAACTAGATGGTTAAATTGTAAGATAATATTTTCTGCAGTTAACAACATTGCAGAGACAACCGGGAGTGCTGTATCCTCGCCTAACTCTGTTTTCGGTAACAAACATTGATACTAATTATGTCTTTTGTGGAAGACGTATTATGTGCTGTCTGCAAAGTTAACTTGTATTATTGGGTAACAGGGTTACCTTGTAGCACCCGGAGGGCCAGTGTGGAAACGCCTGCGGAGTTGGCGGAGCTGTGGCGATATTTCTGTTCAGGGGCGAGTAGTAACCCTGCCGCAGCAACCACGTCCACACACCGGGCTTATATTCCGAGTCAGTCGACGTTGATGATACGTGATATTGGAGAGCAAGAGAAGAGGAGTAAAGAATCTGCACCAGAATATCATCATGTCCGTTCAGGGACTGTTGACAACAACTTACAGTTGACATTAGCTGGAGCATTCGTTGGGAGCAAGTTACCGCAAACTAAAAACGCCATAGTAGTTGGACTTTCATCATCTTCCTCCAACTCCGGTAACATGTCGACTTCAAGCAATGAGAGCGCTGACTATGTAATTGGGCCCAACACTGCTATCTCGTTAATAGGTATAGCAAAAGATAATACATTCGTAAACTACGATACAATATATGGTTTAAAGTGGAACGATAACTGTGCGGGTCTGTGTATAGGTGATAATATGGAACCCCGAGTAATTGCTGATGAAACAAACTTACCTGGGAGCTCAAATAATCCACTCACCGGGATACCAGTGTATTTCCCTAGTGAGGGGTTGCGTGACAAAGGGAAATCCATCGCAGGCGGTGAGATTGTTCCTACGGCATCATGCAGGCCTGTGATCCGAGTTGACGGAAATCCTGTAATGACTGAAGAGCCAAGGGTGATGCCAACGATGCATGAACGCGACGCACCCCCATATTTTGACGACCCGATTGGCGAAGGTATATAGCTTCTGAAACAAATATCCAGAAATACGGTTACCGTAATAATCACTTATGGATGTTAGCGTGCTAATATGGCTACGTGTGATATAGATGAGCTGGAACGAGCACTACATGATGTGAATTACAAGGGAGATGACATCTTCGTCGGTCGCATTTTCAAAAACAAAGAAGATTGTCAAAGGAAGCTGGCTATCCACGCAATTAACCATAAATTCCATTTTCGGTACGCCAGATCCTGCCCCAATGTTATCATTGTAGTCTGCGTGGGTGACAATTGCCCCTGGCGTGTTTACGCTATGAAAATGGAGGAAAGTAGCCGGTACGAGGTTCGTTCTGCAAAACAAGAGCACACATGCAGCATGGATGCACGCGGGAACTTTCATCGCCAAGCTTCCACTGCAGTAATTGGTGAACTGATGCGCTCTAAATATGGAGTAGAAGGAAGGGGACCACGCGCATTTGAACTGCGGCGTCTGTGCAGACAGGAATTTAGCCTCCACATCAGCTATTGGAAAGCGTGGAGAGCTAGGGAGATTGCGATGGACAAAGCCTTGGGTTCAGCTATGGGGAGCTATGCTTTGGTTCCAACTTATTTCAAGTTACTGAAACAAGCAAACCCAAACTCTGTTACGGGTCTAAAAACAGAGGTAGATAACACTGGTGTGGAGCGCTTTAAATATCTATTTTTCTCGTTGGATGCCAGTGCGAGGGGGTACCAATACATGCGCAAAGTCGTCGTCATAGACGGCACACATCTCCGTAATCGTTATGGAGGTTGTCTAGTTGCCGCGAGTTGTCAGGACGGGAATTTTCAGATATTCCCAATAGGGTTTGCGATAGTTAATAGCGAAAATGACGAGGCATGGGAATGGTTTTTAGAGAAACTTACTGAGATAGTGCCAGACGAACCAGAGTTGGTGTTCGTCTCAGACCGCCACTCGTCAATTTACTCTGCCATTCGCAAGGTACGATATTCAACCACAAATAATCTGAAGTGTAACATGTTCTCATAGATAATGTAGTTGACTGCGAACACAAAAGTTTATAGATTTTTTTCTGCAAACCCGAAAGTTAATAATACTTTAGTTAGCGTGTTAATTGTTGACTACAACATTGTTATCAGCTAGTATATAATGCAGTTGTCTGCTAATCTGAGTTAACTGCTATCCATGTTTTGTTGCTTGTCTCTAGGTTTACCCGATGTCTTCTCACGCTGCCTGCATAGTTCATTTACAACGAAATGTGGTCGCCCACTTTAAATCTGATACATTGAGCTACATGACCTCCCAAGCAGCACGAGCTTATCGCCTAAGTGAGTTTGACAAGTTATTCAGCAAGATTCGGGCGATCGATGGAGAGTGCGCTGATTACCTAGAAGACGTTGGATTCGAACATTGGACACGATCCCACTTCGTGGGGGAACGATACAACGTCATGATGAGTAACATCTCGGAATCCCTCAACAAAGTGCTAACAATGGCCCGCGATTTCCCCGTCATTTCCATCCTAGAATCAATCCGTACAACACTGGTAACGTGGTTTGCACTCAGACGTGAAGCAGCTAACTCAGACACAGATGTAATCAACCCAAAGGTTAAGGAGATGGTGATTAAAAATTTCAACAGATCGTCTGGGTATTTTGTTATGAAAATCGGCGATGGAATATATGAGGTCCGTGATGCGACGGACGTCTCTTACGCTGTTCATCTGTGGGAACAATCGTGTACCTGCAGAGAGTTTCAGTTACTTGCCATTCCATGCGAACATGCTGTCGCGGCTGCTATTCGGGAGGGGGTCCGAGTTGAAACTCTGGTTGGCGTCCATTACACTGTTGAGTATCGCAAGAAGGCATACGAGGGCCTATTCATGCCTGTTCCAGACATGGACACTTTGGAACGTGTAGCTGGTGAAGATGGGGCTGTCAAGATGGGTCCGCCTAAGGTTCGCAGACCTCCAGGACGCCCGAAAAAAAGTCGCATCTTCTCGAAAGGGGAGTTCAAGGTAAAGAGTGGTAATACCATTTTCAGTTACATACTTGAGGATTTTGTTTACCAGCAGTGTGACCATCCTTCCCATTGCAGCGTGTGAACAGGCGCAGATGCACCCGATGCCGTGGTCTAGGACATAATCGATCAAGCTGTAAAGGTCCAATACCGGTAAGAATGAGTTATTTATAAGTTCGTTGGATCAACGTCTTTAAATACCAATAAACTTCAAATGTAGGAACCTTGAAGAGGGGATTGGTCTGGACGGAGGAAAGCAAAAGGAAACCGTGTGAGATAAATAATGTCGTTGTTAGCTAAGTTTGTTTCCGTGATCTCATTTTGTTGTATTATAAAGACGATCACTTTTGTTTCGGCGGTACGTCTGAACTAGGTTTGAACCAGACCCTCGTCGCATTTGTATTTGCATTTGGGTCCAGTTGCGAACAGAGTTTAGCTCCATGTCGTTAGTTTTGGGTAAGGATAGTGAACCACTGTGAAAACCATGTAATGTATCCCTACTTGTGTAATATATGAATGTTAGGATGTATTTGTGTTACCACTAATTTCGTTAGCACGAGACCTATTCGTATCTAGCTAGTAATGATAACTAAATATAGCATCTAATCAAGTTATCAGATAGATATGTTGGACAACAACTAGATGGTTAACTTTGTTGGTGGGTAATATATGTTTGATTTAACATATAACTACTTTATCAGATAGAACAGGTCCCGCTACTAACCACGTTATTGGACAAAAACAACTTAGAGGATCGAGTGTTGTTGTTGTACTTGAACACAGAGAACTGTGGATGTAGTGTTATTGCAGTAAGTTAGGAGAGTTGAAAAAATCGACACCATCGAACATCAAGGACAGGATAAAATCCAATTTACGAGGAAACAGAAAGGAAATGTTGTGTAGAGATAGGTTAACATATCTACTTAGTTATGATAATTAATATAGCATACAACCAAGTTATCAGATATATATGTTGGACAACAACTAGATGGTTAACTTTGTTGGTGGGTAATATATGTTTGATTTAACATACAACTACTTAATCAGATAGAACAGGTACCGCCACAAACCACGCTATTGGACAAAAAAAACTTAGGGGATCAAGTGTTATTGTTGTAGTTGAACACAGAGAACTGTGGATGTAGTGTTTTTGCTAGATTGTTTATCATAGGATTGATGGGTTGAGAAAATCGACACCATCGAACATCAAGGACAAGATAAAATTCAATCAACGAGGAAACAGAAAGGAAATGGTGTGTAGAAATGGGTTAACATATCTACTTGGTAATGATAATTAATATAGCATACAACCAAGTTATCAGATATATATGTTGGACGACAACTAGATGGTTAACTTGTAAGAGGGTAATATATGTTTGATTTTACATACAACTACTTTACCAGATAGACCTGGTACCGCCACTAACAAATTTGTTGGACAAAAAAAACATAGGGGATCGAGTGTTGTTAGAGGTACTTAGAAGAACCAAGTATAAATTAGCATCGAACAACAAACACAGCGGATAACAGAATTTTTGAGAAAACACAAATAAAGTTCAACAAAGCTAACACCGCCGAGAGTAGAAAAGGAGAACAAGAAACATAACATAGTCTGATAACAGAGTTTCCCAGAGCAAATCAAATAGAGTACTGTTTGACCAATGCTGTTATGAACCTCTTAAGCTCCGTCTCGAACGAACTCAAGTAAAAAGCCCTTGCAGCTTCGACGCCACCGAGTGCATGAGACTGAAGAAGGAAGACAGAGCACATGCCAGCGTCGGGGGTGGATGAAATTTGAGGAAGCCCAGTTATACGTTCGATGGTGAATGGAGTTAGGTTGATCTGGCTCATCTCTGGGTTGTGTGAAACCTGTTGGAAAAGGTAAGGAAGCATTGTTGCAATAGGTTGAAGATCGCTCACGAGTCTATGGTCCGGCTTGAGACTGACGTTGCAATCCAGCACTCCGATCTTCTTTTCAACCAAATCCACCGCAAGGGACACCCAATGGCGCTGGTCAAAGTTGAAGGGTAGGTATATGATATCTGCTTCGGCATAGAGTTCCACCCGATCTGGCTCATCCTTCCCAGTTAAAAGATCCACAACAGCTCTGTTGAAACGAAATTCTTCCCAGTTTTCGCACTTAGAGAACCTAGGATAGAGTTTGGTGAGCTGCGACACAAACTTGGAGTCCAGAATATCAACTCTTAGTCCGACGCCATCTTCAACATCCTTACGCAGCATGTGCCGTGAAAATTTTAGTACAGCATCCATAACCTGAAAAATAATTTACACGATAATTAAGTTAACTCAATAAGGATAGTGACAACACTGCGTTTAGCCTGCCGTTTGAGATACTTACCTTAGCTGGTGGGCTTTTCTTCCTTTCAAGCAAATCCGCTAACTCCCTTGCGGATAAAGATATACAATTCCCTAGGCTAATTGCCCTGCAGATCAATGAACATATAAGTATACGCGTGTGGACACCATACCCAAATCAGGTTGCATGATCTACCTTTTTACGCTGTTGATAGCGTTTTGGACCTTTTCGTCTAGTCTCCGCATCTTATCCAAGTCTGACTCCTTCTCATGGCCTATGCGTGTCTTCAATCGTTTACCACACTCAAAACGCTCATCTAGCCGAGAAGATATCATCCTAGGACGTTTGCTTTTCCTTGTGACCTCATTGTGGTTAGCGTCAGGGTTGTTAACAATGTTTTCATCACCCTAGATAGAAGATACAAAATTTAACACATAATTCAGCCCTCGTACTGGTTTGCGATATATAACCTATATCCAGATGATTGTAACTTACGCCAGGTGCGTCGGCGACGTTTATCTGTGAACGAGTTATAGCCTCCGGGCAATCATCATCAGGGATTGGAGATGCAACCTACTCGGGTTCAAAAAAAAATACATATAATGGTTGCATGTACAAAATGACTGCAATTTAAAACACGTAAACACTAGAATGATCACAGTACGAACCGGGACATGTTGGCCCAATGGATTAGCTTGGTGAGCAACATTGGAATGGACATCTTCTTCCTGCGAATCAGGTCGGGCATATAAAAAAAGAAATTTTGTTAACAAAATGCGAGTGTATCTGAGGGTTCGTGATAACCATTGTTAATAGAAAATGAGGGTTGTTAGGTAATGATATTAGCCATGAAAAGTTCAAAATAAGTACATACCACTACAGGGGCTGGGGTAGACCGATTGGTAGGCTCGTTTTCATCGACGACTTCCATTTGGTCCTGGTCCGAGTGAAAAAATTCGTGGGAATAACACATCACATATACAGTTGCAGGGTAACCATGATTATTTGTAAATAAGCTGATTACCTTATCGCCTTCATACTTCTCGCCAGGTAAGTTAGAGCCATCCCCCATAGGTGTTTTGGACCGGTTTAGCGGCTGAGAGTCAATGGCTTCCCCCTGCTTACAACCAGAAGGGGAAAATTTTGAGCGAAAAATGGTATATACCAAAATGTATTTCGGGTTATCTGCACCCTGACATATCTATTAACTATATTACCTCTATAGTTCTCCTCTCTGTCGGCTCACCTCCATAGGTTGAATCCCCCGATTTTTGGTGATCGACGACTGGAGAGGATGGTTGCTCAGGTAAGACGGACGTGCCTCCATTTTCGTCGTTATTGACCGCATAGTAGGCTATAATATCCTCCGTAGACAGCCGTTCGTTCTGATTGCCAATAGAAACACCGAATTCGGCGTCGCCACCTTCTGCAGCAGACTGGTTGCTCGCATTGTCTTCGTCCCCGTTGCCGGTGGTTTGGCTACTTTCGGAGACAGTACCATCTGCAGAGGAATTATCGACGGAAACCGACCTCGTTGGGATATCCTCGTGGTTAACAGCGGTTTTCGTTATCAGTTTTTTCAACGCAGCAATGACAACCTTGTTGTTCTTCGATAGCATGTCTGCAAATTTTTCCTCCAAGGCGATTTCGTAACTTGACAACTTGGCCTCTATTATATTCCCAATGCGAGTTTCGTCAAAGATAGTTGTGCTTGGACCAGCGCCTCTACCCTTATTCTTCGCGCTCCTTCCGCCAACGCCTTTACCGGATTTGCCTTTTCTTGACTTTGACTTTGGTGGAATTACAGCTGGTTTGCACCCACCCAAAAACATCTCGCCCTTGAACTGAAAACCTTCGTCAATGAGTTTCAACATCTCATCAACCTTCGGATCGATAGGATCGTCCGCCCAGCTAAGGTCCTCTTCCTCATCGAATACTAGATCCAGACGAATGACGGAGTGGACAGTGTCCTGCAACGAATTAAGATCGGGGTTACCTCTATAGTCAGCTAAGTACCCATGAGGAGGAAAGCGACGTTATCGGTTAACTCTGTTGTACATGACTAACAATCCGATAACTAAATTACACGAAAATTAAGTAGACAGATATTCTTATTACCATCTACCTAAACGTCGTCAGTTGTCTGTTAACTTTGTTTATATGACAAATTAAGTGCTGCTAACTCTATTAACCTCTAAAAAGATAGTTAATCCATTTCCTATGTAATTAACTGTTAACTATGTTAACGAAGTTCATTTGTACCTTTTCCGCTTCGTCGATGTCTCGTGCGTGACTTAACTTTAATTGGAGGACCTGTCGCTGTTGGGGGAGGAAGTCATCTTCATCATCCACTTCGGCGGAGACAGACTGGTTCAGACTATCTGCAAGCGATGGGACAGCTTCCAAAACAACAAACTGAAGAGCTGCAAACAGACCTTGGATCGCTACATTCGCGTTCACTAGCTTCGATGGTTCCCTCTCTTTAATGGAAGATATCATCATGTCAAATGAAAGCCGACCCCATGGGTACTCAACAAATGAGACCAGATCCTCCGTCATTTCTGCATGTTCCTTTACCACTTTTACTCGTGGGTAATGAATAGTTGGTAGGAGAATTCCGTCAACGAGGACAAGACACGCCATTTTTATGCGGACTTGTTTATCCAGATCTCGCCGGCGTTTGAGAATCGCGATAACTCTCTCGATAGTAACATCGTCCTTTCCATCAAAGAGTTTGGCGTAATTTGGGTATGTCGAAGACTTTCGTTTTCTCGCTTCGGTCAAAGGCAGCCTCCCGCAGTTCAAACCAGTAACGATTTTGAATTCGCGGAGAGAGAATCTAATCGGACGTCCCGCAAAAACGAACCAAATCTCGTTCTTCCGATCAACTTCGAGTTGTCGCGAGAGTAAAAACAACCCAAACGTACCTGACCAAGCCGGTTTGGAAGGTATCTCAAGTAGCATCCCCAGAGGGGACTCCCGGATAAAGTCGATTTCCGATTCATTAAGCGCCGCTACGAGATCTGAAATGATGCTAAATTTTTGGTAAGTTATCACTCGCTGACCCCAGGGCTCATCTCCAGCCGATATGATTCGCTTCGGGAGATTTAACTCACTCATGGCGGAAATAGGTTTGAAAAGAGGATTGATAGAGAAATTTCTACACTTCGACGGTTCTCGAGAATGAAAAAGGATGGAACCCCCACGAAAATAGAGAAAATAGGGAAGGGCAGACGATGAGGAGTCCGATAAACGGAATAATGGTCTGTTAACCCTATTCTTCGATATTTTTTTTTTCGTGGGTATAACGAAGGAGTCTAAATCTATTCAAATGATATCCTTGTCGGTTCTGACACACGCTAGCATGTAGGACAAATTGAAAGCGCTTGAAGTTCGTAGGGGTTACTCGGTCTTTTTGCCCTGTACGAGTGTGTGGGGTCGAGTCCTAAAAGGTACCTCTTAATTCCACGAACTTCACATACCCTTTATTGCAATTTCTCTTATAATTCTCCAATAACAACCCTTAAAATCAAATAGGCTCTCCTAATACCTGTAAGATGATCCTGGTGGTGCCGATGGGAGCAGGTTTGGCGTGGTACGACAGTTGCTACCAGCAGAACCAGAGGAATCCTCACCGTTCTGAGATGGATCATTGTACTGTCGGCTATGACCACCAGATCCATACCTCCTCAACGAGTCCCCTCCACTAGCAGCAGCGTTAAACGCGTTCATCCAATCCTCACCGGAAGATCCTCCATTGGTTCTTGGGCTGCTGTGAGGATCTGGTTCGTGATTTAGGTCAGTTCGATCAAATCTAGCTGGTTTGGTGTTAACCAGGTCTGAGTTAAGGTGGGCTTAGGTCCAAGTATCAGAGTCGCAGACTTAGAGAGCTATTGGGCTTCGGTGATTTGGTGTTGGCCCATACTCATTAGACGAGGTCGTTTTAAGGAGAAAGAGGAAGCTCAACAAACGCTACCGTTCGAGTCTTCTTCTTCTTTTTGACTTTCTGTGATCTTATCTGTTGTAACAAACTCTTCAAGAATTCTCTGTACAAGCTCAGATAGTGGATTATCCAGGTTCCGTTTCTGAAGAGAGATGTACCCAAAGTTTCTGGGGAACTATATACTTGCCTCGTGTTGATCTAGTTTTTCTGCAAACACAAAGAGTGAGAGAGAGAGAGTACGAGAAGAGAAAGTGATTAGATCAAAGAGAGTTGTGATCATATCGGTAACAAGTGGTATCAGAGCGTTAGGTTTGGACACACTCAAGGATAGAAAGGCGATTCAAGGATCAAATCGGAGTTTCAAGGATCGAAGGAGGAGACGTTCGCGAGCTTCACTGACCAACAGTGAAGAAAAAGGCGATCTCGTCGTGAGATTGAAATCTACAAGTTCAAACCAAGAACTCAGGGAAGTTTCTCAAAACCTTTCCTTCGTAGTTATCCCAACTATTGTTCTAAAGCCCATCGGAATCTTATACCGTGGAATCTATCTTGAATCGGTATTGCGTATCTAAAATATTGATTGCGAGAGATATTGTGCTTGGATTTGGTGCTGGTTTGGTCTGTTCTTGTATTGTAAACTTGTTTTGCAGGTGATACTTGGTCAGTTATTAAATAAACCATGGAACCAACACAGGGAAAATTCAAAATAGAGAAATTCGATGGTAAAGGGGATTTCAGTATGTGGAAATACAGAATGTTGAGACAACTAGAAATTCAAGGTTTGGGATCGGGGTTAGAAGAGCACTCTAAGTCAGCAATGGTTACGGATGAACAGGGAACTGTTGTTGAACCGAAAGTTGATCCGAAAGCAGCTGAGAAGGATCTGTGGGTGAAAAATCTTTTGGGAACTTTGACGGATCAGATTCTGAGAAAGATAATGCATGAGTCTACAACTTTAGGCATGTGAAAGGCTTTGGAAGCAGACTATCAGACTAAGTCATTACCAAATCGGATTTATCTTAAGAAAAGTTTTGCCAGTTTCAAGATGGATGAGAGCAAGTCTATGGAAGAATATGTCGACAAATTCTTGAAGCTGATTCAGGACCTCTCAAGCTTAAAGATCACCATAAGTGATGAGGATCAAGCAATACAACTTCTAACAAGCCTTCCACCAGCATATGAACCATTGGTTCATACTCTCAAATATGGAACGGGAAAGCAGTCCTTAACAGTTAAGGACGTAGTTGCTTCGGCTTATGAAATAGAAGCTGAGCTAAGACAGAAGGGTCAGTTAACAAAGTCAAAGGGAAATGCAGAAGGGCTATATGTTGATTCAAAGAGGAAAGCAGAACTGAAGCAAGATCACAAGAACAGCAACAAGCAAATAAGGGTAAAGGGAAAAAGAAGTCCAAAGGGAAGAGCAAGTTTGGACCCAAAGCCTGCTGGATTTGTGGTGATGAGAATCACTGGAAGAAAGATTGTCCAAAACGGAACAAGAACCCAAATTCAGCTAACCTTGCCACAAATCTGCAAGAACCAATAGCTTTGACGGCCAGTTAACATGACTCGAAGGATGAATGGGTTTAAGACTCAGGTTGCACATTCCACATCACTCCGAAAAAGAGTTACTATCATACTTTGTGGAATGTGAAGGAAGTAACTTATGGGTAACAATACGCACTATATGGTGAAAGGTATGGGAAATGTAACGATAGAGAATCCAGATGGTACTGTTGTTACGTTAAGCAAGATCAGATACATGCATGAGATGGGAAGAAATCTTATCTCGTATGGTGATAACACCGTATTTTGACCACTTTTATGGATCATTTTGAAATACTTTTTCTATGTTTTTAATTGCTTTTAAGTACTTTTGTTACGTTTTTCTAGTATTTGTAGTTCTAAGACTCTTTTCAGGTAACTTAGGGAAAAGCTTAACAAAATGGATAGAAGACCAGATTTTAGCTCATAGTCAAACCGTCAGAAGTTCACCCCCGATTGAAGGCCTTCTCACCGTCTGATCCAGCTCAAATTAGGAGATCTTAAAGATGGAAGTATCAGCTTTCCAGCACACTTTACAGCTTGGCAATCCAACGGTTCAATCAAAAGATACGCGAAGAGCAAGATGTCCCGTAAACCAGCCAGCAAGCGTTTCCACCCGCGGCCAACAGGCCATTCCCCGCGGTCACAACCATCCCGACTGCGGCCAGCCACCCATTCCCCACGGTCACGCACTTCCCGACCGCGGCCAGCTAACTCCAAGTTTGAAGGCCCATTTCTGAAGCCCGTATCATTTTCCCAGCCTCAATTCCGGAACCCTAGACACCAGAGAGTATTGGAAACTATAAATACATATCATTTAGGTCGTTTTTAGGGAGAGAAGAAGAAAAACGAAATACTTTACAGAAATTTTACTTTAAGCTTTGATTTTAGGTTTTAGGGAGAGAGAGAGATCTATCTCTTGAACCCTTGTTCTTTCTTTTTCAATTTTGGTTTTTGTTCTACTTTTTAATACTATGTTTTTGATTTCGTTTATCATGCCTGAGTAGTTTTATTGTTGGGTCTAAGGGATTTTTGATGGGGATATATATGTTTGGTGAGGATTCCATTGGCTATTGAGCCGAATCTTAGATTTTTTTCTTCTGAATTCGTTTTTAAAGCATGAGAGTAGCGTCATGAACTACAATCTGATCCAGATGCTTGGTGACACAAAAGTGTTCATCCGATGTCAGATCTAGTTTGGGAGAGCAAAACAAACATAGGAGTGTAAACCTACCTATGGGCGATTTGTGAATGCTGATGAGTCTTAAACATAATGCATCTCTTCTTTTCCAGGTCCAGAGTGAAAACCTACTGGTCAGGGTTGAGAGAGATAGTTGTCTATGATCATGACAGTGGCGTATTCATACGTCTGTGACTCCAGTTCGAAAAGTTTAAGTTAACATCTTATCAAATTTACTCTCTAGCAATGTTTTGAATCGTTCATACCCATGAGAAAACTTTCCTGAACCCCAGCGCTTTCTTTCTTATAGATTCACACCGATTTTTATTCAAGCTTTAGTCTAGTATCTTTACTCTTTCAATAGATTTTCATTTAAGCAATTAGGTTTAGCCGTTTTTCCGTTTTTACTCGTTTTCATTAATTTTAGTTATTAGGTCATTTTAATTCCCATATTTTCTCTTTAAATTTCGTTTTTACGTTTTAAACACACCACCAAAACCCTCACAAAACTCGCCTGGTTCTAGACTTCCTTACTTTATATTTCTTTCGAAGGCTTTTGCAGGAAAGATCCTCCTTCTCTGTGGATTCGATCTCTAAGTACTACAATCGATCAGCTGTGCACTTGCGGCTATTGAATTCATTTAGGGTAAAAATTGACACCCTCACACACGACCACATCATATGGTCAACTAGAACAGTCAGGGTGTAAGTACTCCAGTGGAGACTTTGAGGTGGTATTCTACAAAGAGGATCAGAAGGTGTTAACGGGGAAGTATGAGCAAGGTCTATGCTATCTTCAAGGAAGAATCAGGAGGCCAGAGACAAATATTGCTAAAGCCACAGAAGACTTAACAAAGAAATGGCATTCAAGATTGGCTCATATGGGACAGTCGTCTATGGATACTTTAGTGAGAAAGGGCTATCTGAAGATGGAACAGGTATCGAAGTTGGGATTCTTTGAAGCATGTACGATGGGTAAATCCCACTAGAAAAGCTTCCCGAAGACCAAACACACCACAAAGGAGATTCTGGACTATGTTCACTCGGATCTGTGGGGCTCATCGACAGTTACACCGAGTCTAACTGGGAACTAATACTTCATGACGTTCATAGATGATTTCTCCAAGAAAGTTGGGATCTACTTTCTTAAGACAAAGAATGAGGCCTTTCAAAAGTTTTCTGATTGGAAGACTCTGGTAGAAAACCAAACAGGAAAGAAGCTAAAGTGTTTAAGGACCGACAATGGACTAAATTCTGCAATAGGAAGTTTGATGAGTTGTGCAAAGAAACCGGGGTTAAAAGACACAAGACTTGTCCCTACACACCACAGCAAAATGGTATCTCCGAGAGAATGAACTGAACTATAATGGATAGAGTAAGAAGCATGCTCTAGGAGACGGGTTTAAAGGGCGAGTTTTTGGCTGAGGCAGCATCTACTGCAGTCTACATCATCAACAGATCTTCAGCGGCGTCTATTGGGTTTGAGGTTCTGGAAGTGTTGTGGACTGGTGGAAAGCCGGAGTATGGTCACCTAAAATGTTTTGGCTGTATGGCGTATGTTCATACAGTGCCGGAAAAGATCAGTCCAAGAGCTCGCAGAGGCATATTTGTTGGATATGTTCAGGGAACAAAAGGATATCGAGTTTGGTTACTAGAACAAAAAAAGATTACCATCAGTAAAGACGTGGTATTCCATGAAGAGAGGTTATTCAAAGATTTGAACTTAGAAAAGGGAAATTAGATGGAGCAAGAAGCTACTCATGTAGTGAGAGTCTCATCTTCGGGAAATAAATCGGCTGGAGAATTAACAGATGTTGTAACTACAGGGTAGGGTTCAAATCAAGGTGGAGCTGATCCAGACTATGAAGTGACAGGGGAAGAGTCAGGTACATCTGAAGATGATGATGACAATGGTTCTGAAGATACAGGAGCTGTTACTGCAGGAAATCTAGACAACTATGTGTTGGCTAGAGATCGGGTGAGAAAGGCAATAAAACCACCATCTAGATACGAAGGAGCTAACTTCGTGGTGTATGCTTTGACTGCATCAGACACAGTAAATATGAGTGATTTATGGGATTCAGCTATGGACGAGGAGATGGACTCGTTAAGCATAAATCACACTTGGGATTTTTCTGACAAACCAGAGAAACAGAAGGTTATAGATTGCAAATGGATTTACAAGCTGAAACCAGGTATACCAGGAGTGGAGAAGCCTAGATACAAAGCAAGACTTGTTGCAAAGAGCTATGCACAAGTCGACGGTATAGATTACAATGAGGTTTTTGCTCCGGTTCTGAAACATGTCTCGATCAGGCTCATTTTGTCAATGGTGTCTCATCAAGACATGGAACTCGAGCAGCTTTGACGTAAAGACGGTTTTCCTACGTGGTGTGCTGCAGGAGAAAATCTATATGAGTCAACCGGAGGGCTATGTTCAGAAAGGATTTAAGGACAAAGACTGTTTGTTAAAGAAGTCGCTTTATGGTTTAAAACAGTCACCGAGAGAATGGAACTACAGGTTTGACACATTAATGATCAAGAATAAGTACAAGAAGAGTGAGTATGATCTATGTGTGTATCTTAGGGGCTCAACAGTTGAAGACATGGTCTATTTGCTGCTATATGTGGACGACTAAAAGATTCTCTCATCAAAGAGTTTGAGATGAAGGACTTGGGGACAGCAAGAAGGATACTAGGGATGGATATATTCAGAGACAGATCCAAAGTATTTTTGGTCTTATCTCAGAAAGGGTACTTGAATCAAGTGTTGAAGACGTTTGGAATGTGGGATTGTAAGCCATTTTCTACTCCAATGGGTCCTCAGTTCAAACTCCAAAGTCTTACAGAGAAAGAGATGTTGGATCAAGCTGGTGAGATGGATCAGATTCCATACGCAAGCGCAGTTGGTAGTCTAATGTACGCCATGGTGGGATCGAGACCTGATCTAGCTTACTCAGTGGGTTTGGTGAGCCGGTTCATGGGAAATCCAGGTAAAAGTCACTGGAGAGCAGTTCAGTGGATAATGAGGTACATCAAGGAGGCTCCAAAACTGTCTTTAACTTTCACAAAAGGGTCAGATTTCAAAGTTATAGGCTACTGCAACTCAGATTATGCAAGGGACTTAGACAGATGCAGATCCATTTCTGGGTATGTTTTTACAGTTGGTGGA